GAGTCCAAGATAAAGATATACATATATGTATGTATGTATGTATGTATGTATGTCTTTCAGACATCTGTCTGGATTAAGGAACTCTTAATCCAATCTAATTTAAACTGATATAGCTTTAAACCACATGCAAATAATAAACTTTCATGAGATGAAGAACTGCAATGTCACGTGAGCATGATAGACATGATAATCAAAATGGGGTATTCCAGAAAGCAAGGTTAACTTATTGTCACATATACCCTGAATGCAAAATATTTCAAAACAAGCATTTCAGCCAAATGTAATTTATGCAATATCTCAAACGTTTAACCCATGTGGAAAAATCAACCCATGGCAACAATTTAAAAGTAGCCCAATTCCGTGGAAAAAATGCAGACTTGGCAACCTGTCATCCAACACGAGCTGCAGGAGTCAGATTTGACTGATCATGGGTCAAGAGTAATGAGAGATGACAGACAATACCATGCTGGAGTATTCAAGTACTCCAGAGTGCAGCCTGGACGATGGAGCAGGGTGACACGTTTCGCTCCACCCAACCCCAATTACACTGGTTTATAAAACACCAAATCTTATTGGTGTAGACACTTGAAGCATGGCAATTCAAGGAAAGGCAGAGCAAATTTTATTTATAGAGCACAAGTTTAACACAACCGTAGTTGATCCAAAGTGCTTTACAATAAAAATATATTTGAATTAAAAAAAAAAAAAAGCATGAGCATGCGCATTCCTTTGTGTATGATTTTGTAATTGATTTGGCCTTATTTCAGAAATATTAGGGTTGAGTGGGGGAAAAGCCCACCCACCCCCACTGTTTTTCCCTAAATAACCACTAGATCAAGTCAAGAAATATTTTTGTTGTAACTATGGACTACGTTGACAACAGTGATGTAGAAGTTTTCACCATGAAGCTTACACTGTTGATGTACCTGAGAGAAAACGGATTTCACAGTAAATTATCTAATATTCAGCAGTAAGAAAAAAGTGTTTTAAAGCTTGCTGTTTTGTAGAACATCACAGATTTCACAGTAAATTATCTAATATTCAGCAATAAGAAAAAAGTGTTTTAAAGCTTGCTGTTTTGTAGAACATCACAGTTATATATGATATGAGAATAGTAAGGCCTGTAGGGCACAAAGCCTTTCGATTTTAGTTCGGTTGACAAAGCAATGGAGCAATACATTAGAGACATGTTATTACGAAAAGTGTAAACATATTTTAGGTTTATTATGAAACTGAATAATGAGTATTTTAAATAGATATAACCGCTTCTCAGCTGCAGATCAGAAGTAAATAAATGAACTTACCTAGTTTGCCTTGATACCCATCGCTTAGACAAGGGTGAGAAATAAGACAAATCGTTACTACGCCTATAAAGAGAAGAGAGCGTGCGAACCATTTGGCCATTATAGCCGCGCGCTCTGAACGCATCTCTGGTTGTGCTTTAATTCTGCAAGTGTACTTTTGTACAATTGCAGAATTGGAAATAATTGTACAAGTGTACAATTCTGCACTTTGACACTGCAGGTCAAAGTGCCGAGACGTCTTTAATTGGGGGGAAAAGTTAAAAATGAAGGCGGGCCGTAATACTATTGGCCCTCAGATTAAAAGGAAGTGATAAATCCAACATAAAGTATAGGCTACCTTAAATATTCCACCCAGCTGACACTTTCTGTGGTAAAATGAGTTTTTCCGACAAGCAAATACAATATGAAGACTTTGTTCCATGTTTCAAAAAGAAGTAGTTAACAAACCATATATAATTTCCTTATTGGAACTATTTGGTTAACTAAAGGTTTGGCTGTTACCTAATAAACATCTCAAAACAAATAAGATTAAGGACATTTAATTTAAGATATTTTAAGACATTTTATCCTGTTAAGCAAGTTTAACCAAGACATGGATGTAAACTGTTAATTTTGTTTATTACAACCAGAAATTGTCAAATTGTGTCAAACTCATATTTTCTGGTATTCTCAGTGTATTCTCAGTGTGTGTGTGTGTGTGTGTGTATGTATCAGTGGTGGGCTGTCAGGGCCAGCAAAGCCTTTTCCGCTGGCCTAAACACTATCAGAATCACTGATTTAGTTTTAATATATTTTTCCATGAATGTGTATTCAATTATTTCCAATAGTCTATTATCTTCATTTCATAGCTTTTCTCTTGGTTGCACTGCCAGCAATGTATGTTTATATTAGAGCTTTTATCCAATCATATTTCAGCAATCGTGTTGCCAGGGTCAAAGAAATCTGCCAAAATGTCAACGAATCTGTGTTTTTCTGTCAATATGGGGTGCTGTGTGTACTTATCGCTTGATGCGTTGTATGCTGATGTTATTTGCACGATATAAAGCCAGGTTCAAGTTTCTGTAAGAATATCTTAGTTTCCCGAGTGGAGCTGTATTAACCGGTCTTTTCCTCCGGCCACGGCGCCGCTAGCAGGGGCAGACCAGCGGGGAGATGAGAGTCACAGAGGTACGCTAAAACACATGTATACACTTTTCTTCATCGTCTTGTATGAATTATTATATATGCTGCCTCTCATTGGCTGCTTAATTAAATTACACCTTTGTTTGAAAACAAGTACACTTGATCAAATTAGAAAAAAAAAACAATTAGAAAGAAAC